TGTAAGTTTTCCTGTATACGGGTGTGTGCTGGTAAGTGGGTAATGAAGTCTTACAGTGACGTGATCATGTCACCTGAACTGGAATCCATCTTTAACCTGGTGCTTTTCCATTGAGAAGAAGGAGTGGGAACCCAGAGAGGGACAAAGGATTCCCGCCTTATGCAAAAGATATATAAGTGGGTGGAACAGAACAAAAGGGGCAGCCATCATGAGATTTATTTGGGGTTTGGACCCCATTGGGAGTTGGGCATCTGGGTGTTAAAGACAGGAACATTTCTGTAAGCTGCTTTCAGTTAAGTCTGAAGCTTTGGGGCACTAAAATCTCATCCTCAGAGATGTTTCAATAAGTTTCTTTCACAGCCTGGATGCCTTCCTGGGTCTGTGTTGGAGCAGACGGGCGTGTCTGGCTCAACAAGACAGGGGGCTGGAGTCCTGAGCTGGCAGGGAAAGCAGGGGCAGTAGTCTTGGCAGTTCCCAAGGGGGTTTCTGTGATCCAACCCCTATGATAACCCAGTTCCCGTTTCTCTTCCCTCTTCCTCCCGCCCCCCAGAGCCCAGCCGGGGGGGCCAGACACCCAAACCCCCTTACCCCCAGAGCCCACCTCTGGGTCCCCCCCAGCCAATACACCTAAATCCCCTTCTCCCCAGAGCTCAACCGCGGGGCCCCCCCGAGCCCAGACACCCATCCCCTTCCGGCCCCAGAGCCCAGGGATCCAGAGGGAGAAACAGCCTGATGCTTGGTTCCAGGCTTGCACAGTTCCCTGCGTGCCGCCCGCTCCTTCCCTCAGGGTGTGCTGGGAACTGCAGCTGCCAGGAACCCTCTAGCTCCCTCCCCCTCCCCCCGGCAGTGTCTTCTATGTGCAAGCTGGGCTCTGCCAAGTCCATTGGCCCCTAGTGGCAGCTAGCAGCACTGTAGCCCATTTCTGTGTGGGAAAGGAAATTCTGCAAGCACAACGTTAATGTCTGCAAAATTCTGCATTGCGCATCGGCACAGAATTCCCCCAGAAGTAATACCTGTAAGTGTTTGCAGGCTCAGGGCTCTGATCCTACAAACACTAAAGCATGTGAGTAAAGTTACTCACAAGAGTACTATGGGACTACTTTCATGAGAACAGCTATTCAACACGCTTAAGCATTTGTAGAATTGGGCCTTCAGTAAATAATTTTGGGTAACTAGTCAAATCCACAAAACCTTTTTCTTTAAATCAGTGATGGGGGAACGTCTGATCACAGTGAGGAGGCAGCAGCTATGCACTTAACCCCTCAACACATGATGGAAATAAATCCTTATACAAAACAAACCAAGCTAACAAGATTTCCACAAAGAGCTTTCTCCAAAAAAAAAAAAAAAGGGGGGGGGGGGGGCATCAAGAGCGCAGTCTCTTTTTGCAAGTTATAAAAGAGTAGCCGTTACACGAACCACTATTTCTTTTATTAAATTAATAAGGCCTCTTAGGAATTTATCTTTTATCTGAAATAAAAGAAAGCAAAGTGTAGTTTCAGTATTATTATTTCAGGTCACACAGATGTCACCTGTAAAGCTAATCCAGCTGAAACAACTCTCTGCCCTCCCCATTTTTAATTCCACTTATGGACAGTGGCTGAGAAGTGCCTAATGGATTGTTGTGTGTACTGAGGAAGCAGGTTTCCTCAGGGAAAGGCTGTTCCATTTCCTGTGGCCATTCACTAGCTAGAAGGAAAACCTCTCCATGGGGTATCATAAACAAAGCACTTGTGACAAGCATTTATGAGGCTGCAACACAGAACACATTAAATTGCAGATTCCTGGTGACAAATTCATTGTTGTCAATAAGAACTAATATAGTTTACTGCCCTCTATGAGATCAATAATATTGCTATTTCACCTTTCTATCCCCCTTACTTCACTGCTTTGATTTATCTACTTATCCGTACTGACAGATCGATGGAGAGGAAGAGGGATCACCACCATTAAATATATATATAGAGAGAGCATTTCCTTTCCCATGCACAACTCTCTCAACACAATAGGTGTCAGCTGCCAAGCAAATGAAGTACATTTAAGGAGAGAGATTTTAATGGAATTTGGAGCACAGAACTTGTCTACTCCAAGAACCCAATCCTGGACCTCAGAATGGTGGTGGAAAGTAGCTGGAAAGCTCATGGGTCTGGTCTCTTGAGAATTACCTAATCCTCTGGGGATAGAGAGCCAGCACAGCAGCTTCAATGCCGCCTTTCTAGCCCTGATTGTAGGAGGCATGGCCAGGTTGTCTCCCTGTCCGGGGGATCCCTAGCTTCCAGAATAGTCCTTCGGGTTGCTGGCAGCCAGTGCAAAGTACAAGAGCTCAGAGGCTGCACTATATTTTACACCGGGGACTGGCTTAACAGCCCTAAGATCAGTAGAGCCCTGTGTGGATACAAAATTTGTATCCGCATCCGAGCCACAAAAATCACCGATGTAGATATCTGCAGATCTAAAGCGAATATCTGCGGATTTGCTGGGCTCTAAAGATCAGATGTGTGTGTGCAGTATGAGAGAGTAGCTTAACATCACCTTTACCTGCCTCACCCCCGAACTACTCCATGTACACCTTGGAGCATCGTAGTATCTGAGTCAGTGCTTTATGCAGCACTGCGCAAACTGCAACAAATAATGGCAATTTAATGACTGTGAGCTTCAGTATAGGTGCCAAATCAGAGAAAGCACTGGAGCAGACATCCCTGTAAAATGTGGAAAGATTTCCCCCCGCAACTCCCCAGTTCCTTAAGCAATGTGGTTTGGACCAAATCTTTAGCGCTTTATTCAGGCAAACTCCCAATTACTATTGATACCCAAAATTAATGGAGTAAAAAAATCTCAGGATTTGTCCCTCTAGTACAGTGGCTCTCATCCTTTTCAGATTACTGTACCCCTTTCAAGAGTCTTATTTGTCTTGCATACCTCAAGTTACACCTCACTTATTAGCTACTTGCTTACGAAATCAGACATAATACAAAAGTGTCACAGCACACTATTACTGAAAAATTGCTTACTTTCTCATTTTTACCATATAATTATAAAATAAATTAATTGGAATATAAATATTCTACTTACATTTCAGTGTATAGACTATAGAGCAGTATAAACAAGTCATTGTCTGCATGAAATTTTAGTTTGCACTGACTTCGCTAGTACTTTTTACGTAGCCTGTGATAAAACTAGACAAATATCTAGATAAGTTGATGTACCCCCTGAAAGACATCTGTGTACCCCCAGGGCACGCATACCACTGGTTGAGAACCACTGCTCTAGTATAACTCTTCATTGTTTAAGATTGAGAAATTCAGATTTCAATAACGGAGCACTGATTGGATGCCATGCTGTAGCCTCAGAAATAAAGGGCCAGTTAACTACATACAGCTCTGTAGGGCACTAGTTACCTGTGTTGATCCTTCAGTCAGAGAAAGGAGATGAAGTGTGAACCTCTAGTCCTGACATAGTGGGTGAAATGGTAAAAGATTATGTCAGTATACTGATCCTCTCTCCAAACCCTTTAAAATGGGCATTTTAGATTCTGTCTACACTAGGAATATTTAAAAAAAAAAAGTCCACTGGCTAACACCAGTTCAGCCTGAGCTCTATTGAGAGCCCGAGAGTAGATGCGCTTCTGACAGTGTTTTAAATGCTGTGTTGATTAGACTTACTCTGAGCAGGGACAGAAAACACAGTATTTAAAATGGTGGTGGCAGCTGGCAATCTGTCTATTCTAGGGCTCCCAACATTGCTAACACCAATGGAGTGGAACCAGTGTTCCAACAGCGGAAAATTTTTGGAAAAAAAATCCCAATTATTGACAAGGTCTAACCTGGTTTTCCTGCAGGAAGAGAGGAGAGGAGAGTTCATCGGGAGTTTTCCAACAGAACACTTTCTATCCAAAAGTGCTGACTTGTCAAAATCAAAATGTTCTGTGGGATTGTTTCGATTTGGATGAAATTCCAACAGGATCCAGGCTGGTTTCCTGACAGCTTGCCTGATAGTTCCCTGTCAGCCTAAGAGCCTGGATGCCCTGGGAGCCCCAGCTCCCACACAACCCGGGTCCCCAGCTCTGGGGCAGCCTGCCAGGTGGGCTGTTGTGCTCCCAGGCTCTTCACATGGCAAACTGCTACAAACCTGTAGCTCACATGGATACCCGCCCCACACTGGCCATACAGCTTTTCTGGAAAAAAAATAAAAATCCATTTTTTTGTTTTGTTTGTTCCACTGTGGAACAAGAATTTTTTCAAAGTCTCAGACTTTCACAGAACAGAAAATGTGTTACCACATTTGCGTGGAATGGAGCAGAGGAAACACATCAATGTGGCTAGAAGATCAAAACATTCCCCTGCAGTGTTGGAAATTGAAACAAAAACAGCACTGATTTACTGCATGAAACCCATCTTGTTTCACTATCCAATACGAAGGAAGTGCAAAACGTAAAACAGGATAAATAATAAGTAGTAAATGAGATTTTTACAATTCCTGCACATCCAGCTAAGGTGGTGTCTTGGTAACACAAAGTAAAATACTTCAAGTAAAAATATTTGCACGGCATGACATGATTTTCAATTGTTTTCTACAGTAAACTTTAGAGGCTTATTCAGCCATACCAGATTAAAGCCTGGTGGGAGGGACGGAAAGGAGATCAAGTCACACTACTTTAGAATTACTCTGGGGCTATGTGTTACACCTTTACTTAGAACTACCGACATTTACTGAGAAAAGGTTAAAATTTATTCTGAGTTTTGCTTGCACCAGGGCTTAATTTGGCTCAAAATTTTCTAGGATTTAAAGAGAGGTGCTACATATTAATGTCACATGAGATCGTGTTCGCAGCCTTGCAATGAGCTGCTTGACTTTCTAGTCTCACATTCTTGGAATAATTTAGCTCCCAAGATACTACTCTAAATATAAATCCAAGGCATTTTATAGTGGTTTTCCTAAAAATAGTCAAAGTCAATGCTAAGAAAACACCAACCATACAAGGAGGTAAATTTTACACATACCGGTTGAAATAGCTAGTAACCACTGCTCCAGCGATAGTCATTTGCTGACAAGCCAGGATGAATTCACTAGTCCAGATAAGGCCAACTAAATGGTACCACCACATGTAGCGAATGCCAAACAGAATTTTATATTCTACTTGTCCTCCTGAAATGACTTGTGCACTACCTGAGAAGTCAAAGATATCAGAATATTAATCACAACTCAGCAAACAAAACAGAACTTAAACATGTCTCATATATCCCATGTATTCACTTTTTTCCAGTAAAGTTATAAAATAGAATCCAGCTGTTGTTTAATTCTAGCAATATTTACTAAAGCACACAACTAATTTTGAGAAAAATATTCTTATAGGGCCTAATGCCTCAGTTTTAAATCTGGTCATTTTTACAGCTGCCAGTGAAGTCAATAGGAGCTGTGTTTGAGCAAAGATTTAGGAGAAACCAGGTTAAAACTTCAGGATTTGCTCTAAAATGAATGTTTGAGAAATAAATGAAAAATCTTCATTATCAAAATCTGAAATAAGATTAAGGTCAGTTACAGAAATGTCTAAAAATTAAGTTTTCACTTATGAGGACAACAGCATTATTATGCAGACAAAGCACAACTGGAGTTGCAGCTAGCAAGGGATGTGAAGGGTAACAAGAAGGGTTTCTACAGTTACGTTAGGAACAAGAAGGTGGACAGGGAAAGTGTGGGACCCTTACTGAATGGGGGAGGCAACCTAGTGACAGATGTTGTGGAAAAAGCTGAAGTACTCAATGCTTTTTTTGCCTCGGTTTTCACAGACAAGGTGACCTCCCAGACTGCTGCACTGGGCAGCACAGTATGGGGAGGAGGTGAGCAGCCCTCAGTGGTGAAAGAACAGGTTAAGGACTATTTAGAAAAGCTGGATATGCGCAAGTTCATGGGGCCGGATCTAATGTATCCGAGGGGACTGAGGGAGTTGGCTGATGTGATTGCAAAGCCATTGGCTATTATCTTTGAAAACTCGTGGTGATTGGGGGAGGTCCCGGACAACTGGAAACATGCAAATATAGTGCCCATCTTTAAAAAAGGGAAGGAGGAGAATCCGGGGAACTACAGACCGGTCAGCCTCACCTCCATCCCTGGAAAAATCATGGAGCAGGTCCTCAAGGAATCCATTTTGAAGCACTTGGAAGAGAGAAAGATGATCAGGAACAGTCAACATGGATTCACCAAGGACAAGTCATGCCTGACCAACCTAATTGCCTTCTATGATGAGCTAACTGGCCCTGTGGATATGGGGAAAGCAGTGGACGTGATATATCTTGACTTTAGCAAACCTTTTGATATGGTCTCCCACAGTATTCTTGCCAGCAAGTTAAAAAAAGTATGGATTGGATGAATGGACTATAAAATGGATAGAAAGCTGGCTAGATCGTCGGGCTCAACGGGTAGTGATCAAAGGCTCAATGTCTAGTTGGCAGCCAGTATCAAATGGAGTGCCCCAGGTGTCTGTCCTGGGGCCGGTTTTGTTCAACATCTTCATTAATTATCTGGATGATGGGATGGATTGCACCCTTAGCAAGTTTGTGGATAACACTAAGATGGAGGGAGAGGTAGATATGCTGGAGGGTAGGGATAGGGTTCAGAGTGACCTAGACAAATTGGAGGATTGGACTAAAAGAAATCTGATGAGGTTCAGCAAGGACAAGTGCAGAGTCCTGAATTTAGGACGAAAGAATCCCATGCACTGCTACAGCTGGGGACTGACTGGCTAAGCGGTGGTTCTGCAGAAAAGGACCTGGGGATTACAGTGGACAAGATGCTGGATATGAGTCAACAGTGTGCCCTAGTTGCCAAGAAGGATAACAGCATATTGGGCTGCATTAGTAGGAGCATTGCCAGCAGATTGAGGGAAGTGATTATTCCCCTCTATTTGGCACTGGTGAGGCCATATCTGGAGTATTGCATCCAGTTTTGGGCCCCCCACCACAGAAAGGATGTGGACAAATTGGAGAGAGTCCAGCGGAGGGCAAAGAAAATGATTAGTGGGCTGGGGCACATGACTTATGAGGAGAGGCTGAGGGAACTTGGCTTATTTAGTCTGCAGAAGAGAAGAGTGTGTGTGGGGAGGGATTTAATAGCAGCCTTCAACTACCTGAAGGGGATTCCAAAGAGGAGGGAGCTAGGCTGTTCTCAGTGGTGGCAGATGACAGAACAAGGAGCAATGGTCTCAAGTTGCAGTGGGGGAGGTGTAAGTTGGATATTAGGAAAAACTATTCCACTAGGAGGGTGGTGAAGCACTGGAATGAGTTACCTAGGGAAGTGATGGACTCTCCATCCTTAGAGGTTTTTAAGGCCCGGCTTGACAAAGCCCTGGCTGGGATGATTTAGTTGGGGTTGGTCCTGCTTTGAGCAGGGGGTTGGACTAGATGACCTCCTGCGGTCTCTTCCAACCCTAATCTTCTATGATTCTACTAAAAGAGCAGAGAGAGAAAGATTGCTGGAAAAGATTAAGGATATATATGTACCATTGAAACAAAACAGAATAAAGTATATGTTATAGCTGTAACAAAACTAGGTTTTAGAACATTAAACAGACAAAATTAACAAAATTCAATCCAAATTCAATGTTGTTGTTTTTTAAACAGAATGTAGACATCTTTAAGGTAACAAGAACTCTAAGGCTGTTTGCATCAGATGTGTATTCTTGAATATAAACACACATTTACATCTAATTATGCTAGCAAATTGTATTTCCACTTATGTTGACAAGACATGAACGTATTTCCCTATTAATCCTAAAAGCAGCTACACAAAATTAGTGATGCACAGTCCCAATTGCTGAGTTCAAGTTAGACACTCCTATTTATAATTCCTGAATTTGAACTTTTGTTTGGGGGTGGGCGGACAGAGACAGGATACTTTTTGTGGCAGGTCATTGGATCTGGAACTTACTCTCTTTGTCAATTTGCCAGGGCTCAAATTTGCTGACCTTAAGGATGCATCTGTTCACCCAAGAGAGGAATTCTCTAAGGGCGAGCTGTGGATATTCCTTGGTACTAACTTCCAGTACAGCATTGGTGCTGTCAATGTCAACTATGTGAGTAGGGGCAGGATAAGGAACGGTCCACTGATGTCCCTGCGGCCCACGCTGCTTCCCGCAGCTCCCATTGGCCGGGAACGGTGAACCACAGCCACTGGGAGCTGCGGGTGGCCGTGCAAATGTAAATAGACTCATGGCCCACCAGCGGATTACCCTGACAGGCCGCAGGTTGCCCACCACTGGTCTAGTGGGTAGAGCTGAGAACTGCAAGTCAAAACAAATGGGTTCTTCCAAATTCAGGTAAACCTTGTTCTCATTGTTCCCTGGATCAAGAGTCATACCCTGCAACATGATGCAGCTGGACTAGACTACTAAAAAAAGTTCATAGGTTGTAACACAGACTAGTTTATTGTTACTGTGAGGCAATCCTCTTTGAAGTGAAGTGAAGACATTGATGCATGCACTGGTTACTTCATATTCAGAAAGATGTCTGAACAGGAAAGCACTGTCATGAGCTGCAGGCATTTTAGAGAGGTTAGGACTGTGTACTGCTGTAAGTGCACTGCTACTGAAATTTGGTTCTAATGCTTTTTAGACCTGTGAAAATTCAAGTTACTTTACAAGTGGAAAAACCTTTGGTACCATCTCTCTCTTTCCCCCACCCCACCCCACCCCACCCTTTTTTTTTAAATGCAGACCCCAGAGTTATTTTTCTTTCTCAGAGAATTCTGAAGTGGAGCACATTTCCACATACCATCAAAGTAAATTTCATCAGCTGCACTGTACATTTGTGTCTCATTTTGTATTCTGAGCATTTCTCAACTCTTCCAGCAGTTTTAGGCTCCTATGTTCTTACAGCATGTACAACTAGCCAAACATGCTCATACATCAATTGTAATCATTACCAGCGGCAACTGTGCAAACAATACAATGGATAAGATAAATGGAGGTCTCTTCAGCCTTCAATTTCATTTGAAAAGAAGTCATTTCCTTCAGTAGCAGAACTGAGGACTTTTTCCTGATGTGCAACCTTTACTTATGAACATTCCTATTATACAAATTGTTAAGATATTTTACTTCTGCACCGATAGACTGGTTAAAATGATTAATGAATGTCTGCAGCACAAACTCTAATTCCATTGCTCTTAACAAACCACTGCCATTTAAAATAATGATTAACAGTAACAGCCTTGGCTAAACAGAAATTGTCATGGGCTGGTATTGTGTGCATGTGTATCACTGCCCTCTGCTGGATGTCATCATGTGGCAGTGATCACCTTATTTTCTGAGTAAGAGGAGCCAAAGATCATGTGCTGTATTCCCTCATGGTGTATATCTGTGCCTGCCTGATATCCTTTGTGTCTATGGTTACCAGGCACATACAAATCTGATGACAGAATAATGCATTACATTATGTTTCACATTTAAAGATGAGAGTATATTGGTAGCATGGATCAAACAGCAAGGATCTCTCTGACATCCTATTAAAAAATGCATTTCCTTTCCTTGTCATTCCAGTGTGATCTGGTCACGGAGGCACACAAAAAAAGAACAAAACCTCAGAATATGGTTCTACTTTGTCTGCAGTACATTTTTCTTCCAGCAGTATAATCACAGCAGAGAAGTCATTCACCGAAAATCAATCCTGCCAGTGCAGCCATTTGCCAATTCCAAGTTGTTAATAAGTGACTAAAATCCCCATTGTTGAGCCATGACATTGCAGAAAGCTGCCTACTGTATATATACTTTTCTTAGATTTGTTACTGTGATGCAAATACTTCAAAAAAATGTTGGTCAGATACCAAGATCCTGCCATAGCATTTTTAGTAAGACTTTGAAAAGTTTCTCCATCAGATTCACTAGCCCAATACTACAGCCTTGTATCAGTCACAGCCAAAGAGATGCACAATATCAATATCATACAGTATATTTTGTGACTTGCAGACTTGTGCCATACATTCTACGGGAGTGACTATTGAAGGTTTTTTACTCATATCTGGAGCAACCAGAAGTTTTAAGCGGTTGGAACTCCTAGGAACTGGAAATCATATTTTCCTCAATTTATCAATTCCACTGTGGGCAACAAAGAACAATTGGCCAGAAAGTACTAACTCAGAACCGATTTCCCAGTTCTTACTACTATGAAAATATTTGC